GAGCGGGACAGAGGGGACCGAGCCGGGGCCCCCCCGGCCGAACGCACCCCCCCGCTCGGGGCGGGGTTAGTGTCCCTGGGCACTGCTCTGCCGGTCGCAGCCGCCCTCTCCTGCCTGCCCCAACGCTCCCGTCTGTGGTTTGTCGGGGTCCCCCCAGGCCCTGGGTGCGGATGCAGGTGTCCCCCGGGCTGTCCCGTCACCAAACCATGGTGGGTCCTGCGAGGCCTCGTGTCACCGGCGTCAGACCGAGCTCCATCCCCGTGGGTGCTTCGCTGCGAGCCCCCTGGGGAGGAGCCAGGGGGTAACTCCATGTGCCAGGGCTCCGAGCGTGGGCACACCCCAAATCTGCGGGAAATGCTGGAGGGACCCCGAGAGCCCCTGCCCAGCGCGTTGGCAGCCAGGATCTGTGCTAGGCACGTTGTGCTGGGAATGAGCACCCACCAGTGTGTCCTGGGTGGGAACAAGCACCCACCAGCATGTCATGGGAGAGCCACTGGCCTGTGGCACCCCGAAGCGAGGGCCCAACCCTTGGTGGGGGGGGGAAAAGGTCGGTGCTACGGCTGAGAGCCGGGAGGTGGCTCCACTCCCACTCCAGCCGGGAGACTCCTCGGGTCTCACCCACCTTGGGGGGGTTCCCCTCACTGTGTCTGTCCTTCCCAGCTGAGCCCTGATAGCTTCAGCACAGGTACCTGCGGTTTGGCCGCCTCCTCACAGCTCCAGCGAGCCACAGCAGCCCCACAGGGGGCTGCCCACCCCCTCCCGTGGGCCAGTCTCACTGCACGAGCATCCCCAGGATGCCGGGGCTGATTTTTGGCCGCAGCCCATCCCAGTTTCTCTGTGCCACGGAGGTGGCGTGGCTCAGGCACCAGCAGGAACATTTCCCGCTACACTAGTGTCACCACACTGGAGCGTGCCAGCGCCGGGGAGGGCTCGAGGGAGCGGGATAATTCCCTGAGGATGACAACTGCTGGCTGCTAATGAGGCCGTGAGGTGGTCCTTCTCCAACGCCATCACCCCAGAGAAGCTCCGTTACCCATCTGCCCCTTCCCCGAGGGTCTCGGCCTCCAGCGCCGCAGGAAGCTGGTCCTGCTCGGGGCCTCGGCTCCTTGTGCTGCCTGTGCCAGATGCTGCGGGCAGGCCTCTGCCTGCTCACGAGCCGAGGGGGTAAGGTGGCACAGTGGGGCTCTGAGGGGCCACAGTGGGGCTCTCTGTCAGCCCTGAGCAAGCTGAACCCTGCCTGTGGCATGCCACGGCCCCCCTGTGCCACACCCTGCACCGTCCCAATGGTGCAGGGACAGACCCTGGTGAGAAAGAATGGCCCCGGTGCTGGGGGAGGCAGCTGGTGCCCCCCAGCTCATCCCACAGCTCATCCCTGCACCCATGGCCCTTGGGGGGTTGGGGGGGGTGGCTCTTGCAAGCATGACCCCTCAGGAATCCAAGCCCCCTGGGGCAGGACTGCTGGGAAGGAGTGTCCCTGGGGTGGGGGGATCCCAAATGCTGGGAAGGGGTATCCCTGGGGTGGGGGGACCCCAGCTGGTGCGTTCCCGGCACTGAGGCTGGGAGTTGCTGCAGCAAAGGGGTGGCTGTGTGAGGCGGGAAGGAGTGAGAAGCCACAGCCCCCCCCCCGGGCCACCGGGGTGAACCTGCAGCATATTGGAGTGAGCCTGTGGCACCCTGGGGTGAGCCTGCAGGACATTAGGGTGAGCCTGCAGCGTATTAGGGTGATCCTGTGGCACCCTAGGGTGAGCCCACAGAACACTGGGGTGAGCTGTGGCACATTGGGGCGAGCCCGCAGCCTGTGGCACCGGTGGCCCCAGACATGGACAGGGCCCCAGTGCTGCAGTCAGCAGGGAGAGGGCCAGAGCCCGGCACCCCCTGCACCTGCAGCCATGGGTGCACACACACCCCCTTGGGAACTCGGGGTGTTCCAGGACCTACAGCTGCCTCCCCCAGCCGGGACTGCGCTGTCCCTGGGTGGCATGTCCAGGCCCCACATGGCCCCGCACCAGTGGGGAAGTCCCGGTCCCGCGGGGTCAGGCTGCCAGCCCAGAACAGCACGGGACCACAGGGCACCCACCAGGCACCTCCTTTACT